TGTCATTTAGGTTAGTATTGTGGAGTAACTACAATGTTGTTGATCCATCCTCAGTTTTCTCCTATCACAGCCATTAAACTCTGTAACTGTTTTAAAATTACCATGGTGAAATCCCTGAGCTGTTTCCTTCCTCTCCGGCAACTGAGTTAGGAAGGATGCCTGTATCTTTGTAGTGACTGGGTGTATTGATACACCATCCAACGTGTAATTAATAACTTCACCATGCTCAAAGGGATATTCAATGTCTGCTTTTTATGTTATTCTTACCCATCTATCAATAGGTGCCGTTATTTGCGAGGCTTTGGAAAACCTTCCTGGTCTTTGTGGTTTAATCTGTGCTTGAAATGCACTTCTCAACTGAGGGACCTTACAGATAATTGCATGTGTGTGGCACAGAGATGAGAAGGTCATTCAAAAATCATGTTAACCATTATGATGGTACACAGAGTGAGTCCATGCAACTTATTATGTGACTTGTTAAGCAAATGTTTACTCCTGTACTTATTAAGGCTTTACATAACAAAGGGGTTGAATACTTATTGACTCAAGACATTTTAGATTTTCATTATTAATTAATTTGTAAACATTTCTAAAAACATAATTCCACTTTGACATTATGGGGTATTGTGTGTAAATCAGTGACACAAAATCTAAATTTAATCCATTTTAAATTCAGGCTATAACACAAGAACATTTGGAAAACGTCAAGGGGTGTGAATACTGAAGGCACTGTAAGTGATTTTGGAAAGGAATGTGTGTCAATGCCCAGTGAAAACTCTTTCACAGCCCAATGTTCTGAATTCAACATCAGTGTTTCACTGTACGTATTCACTATTGAGAGATATCATAATAAACACCATTTATTAGAGCCGATCAAAAGCAGAAAAAGCCTAATGAGCACCACTGCCCTAACTTCACCCATATGCTAGGTCCCATGTAGCTCAGTTGGTAGAGCATGGTGCATGCAACGCCAGGGTTGTGGGTTCAATTCCCACGGGGGGCCAGTATGAAAAAATGTATGCACTCACTAACTGTCGATCGCTCTGGATAAGAGCGTCTGTTAAAATGACTAAAAATGTAGACTGCTGTGAGATTATTGCATGTTAATATGCCTACCGTGTGATCTGTATTGTGATAGAGTCAAAGCCTGCAGTGCAGACCCTGAATGGGTCTCCAGGACCAGCATATATTGATATTTATGCAGAGATTGAAGAAGCCAATACACTGGTGGTTTGTGCCACAGACTTGGTTTGTCCCAATGATGAGTAGCTACAATTACTAACTTTAAGCACTAGATGGCAGTAGATAGCAACCAAAGTTGTGTCAAAAAGACTATGGAAGTTTACCTGTTCATACTTCTCTGAAGCTTCGGTTGTAACAAGAAAAACTTTGCGAATGCCAACAAGCCTGGTTAACTAGCTACCTGTATAGCAAATCTATTACTATGTAAAACTGTGCTTATAGAGATTAGCTCTGTTTAATTGTGTGACACTGACAGTAGCCTACTGAGATTGAGAACCCTAGTTCGAGTGGCGCAGTGGTCTAAGGCACTGCATCGCAGTGCTAGCTGTGCCACTAGAGATCCTGGTTTGAATCCAGGCTCTGTCGTAGCCGGCCGCGACCGGGAGACCCATGGGGTGGCGCACAAGTCGTCCAGGGTAGGGTAGGGAATGGCCGGCAGGGATGTAGCTCAGTTGGTAGAGCATGGTGTTTGCAACGCCAGGGTTGTGGGTTCGATTCCCATGAGGGGCCAGTATGAAAAAAATAAAATAATAATAAAAAATATATATATAATGTATGCACTCACTAACTGTAAGTCGCTCTGGATAAGAGCGTCTGCTAAATGACTAAAATGTAAATGTAGTTATAAAATAGAGATGAGATGATTACTTGGAACAAAATAATTTCATGAAATAAATGTAATTCACACATCAACTGAAATATTGTATTAAAGTCATGTGAATAAATTATGGTTAATAAGTGATTAGCAGTAATGGGCAGTCACTACCATCATGGGACTTTTATTAATCGTTTTATTCTGTTTTGTTACAGCATTTAACCCACATAATGCATAGTGCATTTAATAATCGAACCGAAATGAACTGACCTCAAAAAGCACTAATCGCTCAGCACTACTTGTTGGGCTGTTAGCAAGCTTTTCTCTCTTGACAGTCTCGCAACAACCAACAACTGTGTTGCAAAAGTGTGTAACTGGGGTATATTCATTATGCCGATTCTGTTGCAAAACGTTTTGTCTGTTGCAAAACGTTTTGCAACAGAAACTGTACGTCACTAGTTACCACAGCAACAAAGTCATAAACCCCGCCTATTTCTACAATTTCTCTTCCTAAAATGTGATTTTAAACCTTTACCTTAACCACACTGCTAATCTTATGCCCAACCTTAAATTAAGACCAAAAGCACAATTTTGTTATCATGAATTCTTACGATATAGCCAAGTTTGACTTTGTGACTGTGGTAACTAGTGGAAACCACAGAAAACGTTTACTCCAAACGGAAAACGTTTTGCAATGAAAACGAACGTTTTTAGTGGACAATTTCAGGTAGGTCCGATAGAGATGAATAGAGGACTCATCATGGATATAACCCGTTTTATACTGAACAAAAATATAAACGAAACATGCAACAATTTCAAAGATTTTACTGAGTTACAGTTTGCTCGCATAAAAACTGTGGATGGAACATGGTTAATGTGTCATTCAAATGTGTCATTCATTTTCCACCACTAGAGCCACATCTCTATCTGACATATCTGTTTTCTTTGATTGGTTATCATGTTGAAGTCCAATGATCTCACCTCCTCCACAGAGACTCAGACAGCTTGCTCCATGTGGTTGAACACAGCGGGAGGAGGACGGACAGTGAGGCTACCGCCGGCAGCGTAGGGAGCTGCTCTACTATACCACCGGTCAGTAGAGCAGTATACACTGACATGGTCGCACGCAATCCCTACACTAACATATGTATTGTTGTGTTGTAGAAGGTGGTTCGTGCGAAGGTGAGGAGACAGCTGAGTAAGCAGCAGAAAGCAGCTCAGAGGAGAAGACTGATGAAGGGAGAATCTAACCTGGTCACCGCGGAGATCAAATCTAGTCTGGAGACTGATGGCTTCTGGGGCTGAGAGGGACGTGAGTGTGTGATTGAGCGCAAGTCAAGCGTGTGTGAGTCAAGCGTCTGCGTGAGTTAGTTGAGTAAGTGATAACCTGGTCTCCGAGGACAGCAGAAGATGAGGAGAACATGAACCACATTGGAGATGAGAGGAGAAGGACCTATTGGAAGAAGGCCAACAGCAATGATCCCCCAGTGTTGAACTCTCCTGCTCTGTATCTTCTGCAGTGTGAATACTTTCAATAAAGACCACTTTAATATGGATGACAATGAGTCCAGGTGTGTATTCACAGTATATAGCTACAGTTCTAAATAACATTTTTATTTACATTTACATTTACATTTTAGTCATTTAGCAGACGCTCTTATCCAGAGCGACTTACAGGAGCAATTAGGGTTAAGTGCCTTGCTCAAGGGTATTTGAATGGGAGTTTAGAATCGTTGCACATATTGCCTATATCTTCCAAACAAATAGTGATTTGCAGACGGACAAAGGGCTGGTAAAAGTAATGGATTGCATTGATATAGTGCTTTTCCAAGTGCTCAAGGTGCTTTACCTTGTAAAGAGAGTACTTGTGTCACTCACTAGCAGAAGTCTTCAGAATGGTGTGTGTGTTAATGATTGTCCTCTAACGGTTCTCAGTGGCTGTGGAATGCAGTGTTGTGTGTCTTAGGGGGGCTGGTTACTTGTGCTAAACTCCTCTAGTCCCAGGGTCTCTGACAATGAAACAGGCTTCTCAATGGATGACATTCACCCCATGTATACCATAGGGCCAGACACACACACACACACACACACACACACACTCGTGAACAGAACACACTTGAAGACACATACATCCACCCTCTCAAGATCCAATGAGCTCTACAGGGCCAGGCAAGACAAATACACACACTCACACAATACACAAACTCACACTTGCACACACAACCTGAAAATGAGGAATGGAAGTCTTGAGGACAGAATCCCCTCCATTCTGTGATAGTGAGTATATTAATCTGTAAGATATTTGGAGGGAGTGGGTGTCTGGGTGAATGCAGAGCTGAACAATGGCCATTCATACACGCAGCCAGAAAGGAGCTCAGGCCCTGGATCGACAAGAGTCTGAAGTCAACAGCATGGCTCCATCCTGCCCACCCCCATTCACACTGTCACACACATACACAGCATTCCTCTGAGGATGTGGGTTAGTTGGTGTTTGGCTGGGGGGTTAGGGATTAGGATGGGGGTTATTAACGTTGGTTGGTCTTATGGCACATTTCACTATGAGAAGCTCGAGCACATTTCATGGACAGAGGGACCCAGTCAGGGGTGGGACTGTTCTGTCCATTAGGATCCCTGCTGCCAACGGCCCTGGTATGTTTAGGGTGTGACCCAGACCCTTTGTGGCTGTGAGAGAGGAGAGAGGGGCTCCACAGTGACTCTCTATAGAGTGGGGAGAGGGCGGGGGGGGGGGGGGGGGGGGGCACATACCAACAGCAGACCTCAGTGTTTGTGCGTGTGATGGGGCCCCCTAGCTAATTAGCAGAGATTGTGACAAAGGTAGAGCGCTCCAGAGGAGAACCCCTGGGGAGGCCTTCATACGAGAGAGGGGAAGAGAGAGGAGAGGGGAGGAGGAGAGAGAAAGGGGGAGTTGAGTTAAGGGGAAGTGCAGTCTTTATCCTCTTTCATTTAAAAATGATTGAGTGGGGTTGTGTTTGGAGTAGTTTCCCACTGCTTGCTTCGCTCACCATGGAACATGTTTTGAACTAGACAGAGTGTGTGTGTGCGTATGAGCAGGATTAAGCCAGTGTGTGAGCTAAACTGAGTGTATGCAGGAAGACTGAGATTGAAGAGGATGAGACAATTTTGGGATTCTCCATACGATAACATGATGTCACACCTTCTGTCCCCAAGTGACTTCGGTACCAGCCTCAAGGACCGTGAGTAACTACCAATACACAGACACACACATGGAGACACACAAATACATGTAACTGTGATGATGTCACCTGCAGTTGAGTCAGTGTGATGGCCATACTCAGACAATGCTTTTGGTAATGCATATGGCTGTTTTATATAGGCATGCATTGCATTTAGTTACTCAAAACACACCGACATAGGACCAGGGAAATCTTCAGTGAATTGCTTTTTATCACAGGAATAATCTGGGTCTGGGAAAGCAGAGTTGGAAAGGCTGATTCATTAGATGCTTTTTTACCCAGATAGAACATTCATGTGCCTCTGTTTACTGCATTAGCCATACATGCACACAGTAAAAAACATTATGTGGATTCTGATGCAAATACATTTGATTTGATTTGATGCAAGCAGTGTCGTGTAGAGATTTTCCACTGTATTGAGCTACAGTAGGCATAATCACCTTTAATGCATTTGATTTTAATGAAACTTTTTCACTCAAAGGTAAGTTTGTTGTTCTTGTTCATCAGGATGCATGGCTAGCCTGCCATGACCTGAAGCCATCTCTGCAGCCTTGGCAGGTAGGGTTAGAGTTGAGTGGTTGTGTGGTGTCCCCTTTTCCTAATTCAGTTCGAACAAACTCAGCCTGGGAATGTTCAGTTACAGAAACAGGTTATTTCCACAAACATACACACAAACATGCACACACTCACATGTATAACTGTGGCCAAGACTATAGACGGACGGTAGATGTTATCAGAAGTTAAACAAGGTTTTAATGGGCTGTCTCTACATTAATTAAGAGAAATATATCTACAGTCCATTCCAACAGTGTCCGCTTCATACCCTTATTAAGTCAGCTAGAGGTTCTGTAGAGTAGCTTTGTGGTGCTGAGTCTAGCTGACTTCCTGTGTCTAGTTCTGTGCCCTCAATTGCTGTCGTTATTGAAACTCTAAATCACCCTGACCTCTTATCCCCCTGAACCCCAGAATGACTCCTTATCCCCCAAGCTCTTCATGCATCATTGTGTTTCTACCACAGGCACAGGACATCTCTGAAACTCTGTCATCCTGACATGTGGCTTGTTGTAAAGCCCTGAGGACTCTTTTAGATGTATTTTAATGTGACAATCATCAGGCCTATTTGCAGACTTTCATTATTGTGGTGTGTGTGTGTGTGTGTGTGTGTGTGTGTGTGTGGGAGTGCATGCGTGTGGGTGTGCGTGTGTGCGTGACCTCAGTGAACATTGTGGCCATGTTGCGTAACTTTTGGGAGCAGAAACAGGTGAAGGGGTCCAACAGCCAATCAGAGGACTCGGTGAAGGGCTCTGTCAGCCAATCAGAGGGCTTATTGTTGTATGAGTCTGCCCCTTCCCCAGGACCCCCTTACATCTGCTACGTCACTCTACCTGGAGGAAGCTGCTTTGGAAACTATAAGGTGACTGACATTATAACCATCACAACCACAGCTACCTAAGCCACCTAAACCAGCACTACTCACAAAACATTATCGAGTTCCACTGTGGTGGAAAGCTAGGGTTGTTGTGGACAGGGGTATGGGTGAGGTGGGGAAAGGGTTGGGGGTGGGTAGGGGTGAAGTGGGGGGTTAGGGTTGGTGGTAGGGGTTAGGGTTGGGGGTAAGGGTAAGGGTAGGGGTAGAGGAGAGGTGGGGGTAAGAGTTGGGGGCCAGGTGGTTATTTCATTATCTCAATGACAGGAGCCCACCATGGAGTAGAGACAGTGTTTCCATAGTGCAGCCAAAGACCACCACTGAGCAGCTTTAAAGGTGCTCTGTCATTAGTGTGAGTGAGAAAACACCTGTCTGGACAGGAGTGCTGCTCAGCCTTGCTGTGGGTCTGAATGGTGTGTGGAGGGTCTCATTACTGCACAGCCCCTAAAGAGAGGTCCTTCATCTATACCCCTCAGACCCTGGGCAGTACACACACACAGCCTCTCAACCTGCTTTGATGATTTTATTCAGCTGGAATCCCGTGATGCTTTTCAAAGGGCTCATTGTGGCTCACACAGCCTCCCAAATGGTGAGGCCCCAAATGCCTTCTGATTGGTTCAGCTGCCTGTGATGTCATAATCTGATTCCACATTTGATTGCTAATCCCATGATTTGCTTTTATAAACTCTCACATGTTGAAGAAAGTAATGAGAAACTAACCCAAGCAGAGGCATTTTCTAGATGGCCTTTATTTCTGTTCCAGTCAATCATATTCATGCAAACAGTAATCCCTCATAAGCAGACTACTTAAACATAAATGGTACAGTAGCTCTGTCATGATACAACGGGATGCGTGAGGTAACGAGCAGCATAAGTTACGGTGCTTTGGACAAATCATGATTTCACAGGTGTTTTCTTATTTATTTATTTGTTGTATTATTTACCCATCCACCTTCGGAGGACAAATATATATATTTATATATTCTTTTACAGCTTTTCTGCTACATATACATACATTTTACATATACATTTTACATACATGGTACTTTTATATAAAGCAGTCACATAACAATAATACATTACCAAACATAAACTCTTTAATCCCACCCCTCAGCCCTTTCCACCTATCACCATAGAACACCCTCGTTTGGTTTCCATGTGCCATATATTTTTCACTTGTGCTGTGATGTTTTACATACATTTTGAACCTTTCTAATCGTATAGTATCCACAGATTGTGAGCTAAAGATGAAAACCTTTCCTACGAGTATTATTATATTATTTATTGACTGACTAGGGCTTTCCAAATCGCCCAACACTGCTATTTGTAAGGTTAATTTTAAGTGAATGTTGTGATTCTTTTACCATTCCTGGACCTGTGACGAGAAACAAGCTACATAGGGGCAATACCAGAATAAATTATCTAGTGATTCTGTCTCTTCGCAGCAAAATCTACAGAGCTGAGATTGTTGTATGCCCCATATATTTAGCATTCTGTTGGTGGCAAGAATTTTATATAATTATTTAAATTGAAAAACTCGGAAGTGTTGAATCAAGTGTTGTTTTTTGTACCAGTTCATAAACCATATGCCATTGAATCGGTACATCGAAAATCTCTTCCCATTTATTTTGCAACCTGTATGGTGCAGCTGTCAACATTTTTGTCCTCAAATGAAACTGGTATATTTTTCTATTTATGCCAATTCCTTTCAGCCAATTTGTATCTTTAATATATGGCAGGTAAACAAGTTCCCTACCTTCTCCCTTTTCCACAAGCCTCCTCCATTTTTTGTGGTAATGCTGCAATCAGTTGGTTGTAAATTTGGATTGAGAAGACATTCCCATATATTTTCAATAGCTGCATATGTGACATAACTCCACCGTTTATATTAATTATATCATTAATAAATATATTACCAATTTTAAACATTTTATTAAGAATGTTTTTCTATTAATCAGTATATTTGAGTTTAACCATAACATTTGTTGTAATTTTTGTTCTATCTTTTCTGGAGGATAAAACTGAAATTGTAACCAGCTTTGTATGGCTTGTTTAAGAAAAGGCGATACTTTAAACAGGTGTTAGCATCCTTTGAATTTCGGAAGGGGAGGGGACATTTGTCCCATAGACTTGCCCAATAACTTGGAAAGAGAGAAGGTGGAGCTCTTCATTCTGGTTCAGATCCTCGTTCTATCTCTTCTCTTAACACGTATGGACCCAGAACAAAATCGAGCATCTTACCAATTACGCGAGACTTTGGTTCTGGGTTGACCGAGATTATGCAAACAGTGATCATCTCAAACCAACAACACTGCAAATATAATTTACACAGTGGGACTTATGTCTCCCTCTTTTCTCTCCACTTCCTCTCTCTGCCAACCTCCCACCTATTTCTGTCTCTCTGTAGGAGTGTGAGACCCAGGCGGAAGCTCGTAGGGATGCGGCGCGTGTCGCTCTGATGAACTCTCTAGTGAACGAGCTGCCGTCTAGACTAATCACTCCTCTTTTCATCACACACAGCCTGCAGGAGGCTGCCTCCGCCAGCACCGTGAGTCTAGCACAGGACTAACTCTAGCACAGGACTAACTCTGGCACAGGACTAACTCTGGCACAGGACTGACTCTAGCACAGGACTAACTCTGGCACAGGACTAACTCTGGCACAGGACTGACTCTAGCACAGGACTAACTCTGGCACAGGACTAACTCTAGCACAGGACTAACTCTGGCACAGGACTGACTCTAGCACAGGACTAACTCTGGCACAGGACTAACTCTAGCACAGGACTAACTCTGGCACAGGACTGACTCTAGCACAGGACTAACTCTGGCACAGGACTGACTCTAGCACAGGACTAATTCTGGCACAGGACTGACTAGCACAGGACTAACTCTGGCACAGGACTAACTCTGGCACAGGACTGACTCTAGCACAGGACTAACTCTGACACAGGACTAACTCTAATTCACAACAACTAAGCATCAGCATGGCAGCATGGATAGGATAGGATATCCTGAGTTATTGATTATGAAAAGCTCTCTTCTATGGGCTGATATCAGATGTGTCAGTGTTTAAGTGTTGTGTTACTGTATGTTGCATCCAGGTCTCTGTGGAGGATGCCTGTGATCCTAGCACCAGTATAGGAACCTATTGTCTCCTGCTCCAGTCATACACTGGCAGAACCATGTTGGAGTTCCAGGTAAGGACAGGATTATCATAGGAATTTGTTATAGGCTAATTACTGTATGTTATAATATATCTTTGCTGGTCTGATAATTATTTTCTCTTGCACTACAAACATGATCTCATACGGACTCTTTTTTTACTTTTTGCTGAACCTATTCTTTGACCTCCACCACCTGTTCAAAGCACTAGCACTCGTTTCATCGCACTAGTTCCATCTGTTTCTGATCATTACCCTTATCATTTATAACACCGTCTATGGATACATGGCAGCCATCCAGCCAGACAGTATGCTCTCAATCACAGCTTCAGCAGACAGGCTTGGAACATAAATGTTTCACGTAACTTTTCAAACTAATCACACACAGTTTGGTTAGGGATTAGAAACATACTTTGATAATCTATCATCCCTTTCCTGCGTAATTACACAATTCATACTTGTCAAGTTTCACTGATAATTTTGTATGCCGTTCTTTTATTGCTCAGGTCTATTAGGGCTCTCTCTCTCTGCGCAGACGAGAGAGAGCGAGCGAGAGGAGGGAGAGAGTAGAGAGAGAGAGAGCGAGAGCTCTCTCTCTCTCCTCCTCTCTCTCGCCTCCCTCTCTCCTATCCTCTCTTCTCTCATCTCTCGCTCTCTTCTCTCTCTCTCTCTCTCTCTCATCTCTCTCTCTCTCTCTCTCTCTCTCTCTCCTCTCTCTTCTCTCTCTCTCTCTAGGAGGGGATGACGGTGTTTCAGTTGTTACACTGGAACGGGACGTTGAAGGTTCTAAGGGAGAGACAGTGTTCCCGCCAGGCAAGTCCCTCATCTGGATATTCAGTTATATAACTGACCCTATAATCCTCTACCCCATGGGTGGCCAATCTTTGATTTGTTTGAATCAGGTGTGTTACTGCTTGGTTGTAACAAAAGTCTGCACCCACACTGGCCCTCTGCGGACAAGATGGATACACCCCTGCTATTCTCACATCAGAGGGTGCTACATCAAGCGCACCGCCTGATTGGTTATTACTCTTTGCCCCCACAGAGTGTGATTGGTTATTACTCGCAGCGGGAACTGGATGCCAGCATGCGCAGCAGCATGGCTCTGGATTGGCTGGGCAGGGAGCGGCAGACTCCAAGGCTGCTGAGGATGGAGCTACGAGCAGCACAGAGGGAACTGGACGTGGCTAGGCGTCATGGCAATGAACTCCGCTTCTACAAGGAGAAAACAGAGATCCTTAGCCTGGCACTGAGTCAAGCATTCACACACCAACCACACACAGATTCACAAGAATCACCTGAACCACACATACACCACCAATGAGTCGCACATACACACACAAACTACATGAACCACCTGAACCACACATAAACTACGAACCATTAACAATCCAGACAAAGCCCCTGATCCACACATGAAACCCTGAACCACCATACATACACCCAGCTAAGCCTTTTTACATAGAAAGTGAATGTTGTCCCTGGTGGTAAAGAGATCAACTCAACCATAGAACCTGCGGGTGGAATCAGATGAGAACAACAGATGCCGTGTTCACATACTAGTTGGAACTAGAAAACTCTGAAATTTCCGGCTTGCTCTGGTTGTAGTTGTTTATACATTTACTGCATTTAACGAATCAGCAAGTTGGTCATTTCTGAGTTTCCTAGTTTCCACTAGCATGTGAACAGTGGCAAGAGAAAAGAGGCGCTTCATCAAGAGGGACTGAGCAGGTGATTAGGTCAAAGGTCACCATAAACACTGCCAGGCTACCATCAACATTACACAAACAGAGAACTGTTTACTTTATAGCTGCTGTCAAATTCAAGACACAGCTGAGACAGCTGACTGTGAAATATGTGTGTACATATGAAATAAATACTTTGTCTGTCTGCTATATAATTATATAACATATTTCCAACTAGTTTTCATTGGGAAGGTAGATAAAGCGTTTTTATCAAAAGCAAAGCAATCACTTGTGCATGTGAAAACACCAAATCCTACTCATTACTCCACGTGCTTAATTATGTCACTTTTGTTTTGAGCGTTCAGCATGTTGTTGGAAGACCAAAGCTAAAGTAATATGAAGTTTGGGAACACACAAGTTATGCTTCTTGATAATCATAGATAGATTTAACTACACTATATATACACAAAGGTATGTGGACACCCATTCAAATTAGTTGATTCGGCTATTTCACCCATAGGCCTACCTGTTGCTGACAGGGGTATATAATCGAGCACACAGCCATGCAATCTCCATATACAGTGGGGAAAAAAAGTATTTAGTCAGCCACCAATTGTGCAAGTTCTCCCACTTAAAAAGATGAGAGAGGCCTGTAATTTTCATCATAGGTACACGTCAACTATGACAGACAAAATGAGAATTTTTTTTCCAGAAAATCACATTGTAGGATTTTTAATGAATTTATTTGCAAATTATGGTGGAAAATAAGTATTTGGTCACCTACAAACAAGCAAGATTTCTGGCTCTCACAGACCTGTAACTTCTTCTTTAAGAGGCTCCTCTGTCCTCCACTCGTTACCTGTATTAATGGCACCTGTTTGAACTTGTTATCAGTATAAAAGACACCTGTCCACAACCTCAAACAGTCACACTCCAAACTCCACTATGGCCAAGACCAAAGAGCTGTCAAAGGACACCAGAAACAAAATTGTAGACCTGCACCAGGCTGGGAAGACTGAATCTGCAATAGGTAAGCAGCTTGGTTTGAAGAAATCAACTGTGGGAGCAATTATTAGGAAATGGAAGACATACAAGACCACTGATAATCTCCCTCGATCTGGGGCTCCACGCAAGATCTCACCCCGTGGGGTCAAAATGATCACAAGAACGGTGAGCAAAAATCCCAGAACCACACTAGGGGACCTAGTGAATGACCTGCAGAGAGCTGGGACCAAAGTAACAAAGCCTACCATCAGTAACACACTACGCCGCCAGGGACTCAAATCCTGCAGTGCCAGACGTGTCCCCCTGCTTAAGCCAGTATATGTCCAGGCCCGTCTGAAGTTTGCTAGAGTACATTTGGATGATCCAGAAGAGGATTGGGAGAATGTCATATGGTCAGATGAAACCAAAATAGAACTTTTTGGTAAAAACTCAACTCGTCGTGTTTGGAGGACAAAGAATGCTGAGTTGCATCCAAAGAACACCATACCTACTGTGAAGCATGGGGGTGGAAACATCATGCTTTGGGGCTGTTTTTCTGCAAAGGGACCAGGACGACTGATCCGTGTAAAGGAAAGAATGAATGGGGCCATGTATCATGAGATTTTGAGTGAAAACCTCCTTCCATCAGCAAGGGCATTGAAGATGAAACGTGGCTGGGTCTTTCAGCATGACAATGATCCCAAACACACCGCCCGGGCAACGAAGGAGTGGCTTCGTAAGAAGCATTTCAAGGTCCTGGAGTGGCCTAGCCAGTCTCCAGATCTCAACCCCATAGAAAATCTTTGGAGGGAGTTGAAAGTCCGTGTTGTCCAGCGACAGCCCCAAAACATCACTGCTCTAGAGGAGATCTGCATGGAGGAATGGGCCAAAATACCAGCAACAGTGTGTGAAAACCTTGTGAAGACTTACAGAAAACGTTTGACCTGTGTCATTGCCAACAAAGGGTATATAACAAAGTATTGAGAAACTTTTGTTATTGACCAAATACTTATTTTCCACCATAATTTGCAAATAAATTCATAAAAAATCCTACAATGTGATTTTCTGGATTTCTTTTTCTCATTTTGTCTGTCATAGTTGACGTGTACCTATGATGAAAATTACAGGCCTCTCTCATCTTTTTAAGTGGGAGAACATGCACAATTGGTGGCTGACTAAATACTTTTTTTCCCCACTGTACATACATTGGCAGTAGAATGGCCTTATGAAGAGCTCAGTGACTTTCAAAGTGGCAAGGTCATAGGATGCCACCTTTCCAACAAGTCAGTTCCTCAAATTTCTGTCCTGCTAGAGCTGCCGCGGTCAACTGTAAGTGCTGTTATTGTATAGTGGAAACGTCTAGGATCAACAACGCTGCGAAGTGGTAGTCCACACATGCTCACAGAACAGGACCCCCGAGTACTCACTACCGAATTCCAAAGTGCCTCTGGAAGCAACTTCAGCACAATAACTGTTTGTCGGGAGCTTCATGAAATGGGTTTCCATGGATGAGCAGCTACACACAAGCCTAAGATCACCATGCACAATGCCAAGCGTCGGCTGGAGTTGTGTAAAGCTTGCCGCCATTGGAGCAGTGGAAACGCGTTCTCTGGAGTGCTGAATCACGCTTCACCATCTGGCAGTCCGACGGACTAATCTGGACGGACCAACCTGGGTTTGGCGGATGCCAGGAGAACAATACCTGCCGAATGCATAGTGCCAACTGTCAAGTTTGGTGGAGGAGGAATAATGGTCTGGGGCTGTTTTTCATGGTTAGGGCTAGGCCCCTTAGTTCCAGTGAAGGGAAATCATAATACTACAGCATACAATGACATTCTAGACGATTCTGTGCTTCTAACTTTGTGGCAACAGTTTGGGAAGGCTCTTTCCTGTTTCAGCATGACAATGCCCCTGTGCACAAAGCAAGATCCATACAGAAATGGTTTGTCGAGATCGGTGATCGGTGTGGAAGAACTTGACTGGTCTGCACAGAGCCCTGACCTCTACCCCATCGAACACCTTTGGGATGAATTGGAACGCCGACTGCGAGCCAGGCCTAATCGCCCAACATCAGTGCCCGACCTCACTAATGCTCTTGTGGCTGAATGGAAGCAAGTCCCCGCAGCAATGTTCCAACATCTAGTGGAAAGCCTTCCCAGTAGAGTGGAGGCTGTTATAGCAGCAAAGGGGGGACCAACTCCATATTAATGCCCATGAATTTGGAATGAGATGTTCGAGGAGCAGGTGTCCATATAATTTTGGTCATGTAGTGTAACGTGAGCATTTTTCTACCCTAAAAAATAATAATTACTTGCATGAACACGTAGTTTTGTAAACATAACGTTTGCAACACAAATCGATAGGGTCAGTGCTAGCCGGAATACTTGGGACTTCCATACCCTTAACCATAACCCTTACCTTAACCAATTTAAATGTAAACGTCAATGGGTTTGGGACGTCCCGAATAGCACGGACCAAATCGATACGGTAACTAACATGAATGTAGGCAGAGAGGAAGAAAGAGGCCCAACTCGGCAAAAAATCTGACTCCCTCCAGCAGGTGGAGTCTTTTCGACAACACAAGCAAGGAGTTTTTTAATGGAGATGCACCCGATAGGAGGTCAATGAGAGAGTAGATCGAATATAAGTTTCGTAATGCATAAGTTGTTACGCGTCTGATATAAGTAGGACACGTGACATCCGGGCAATTTTGAGAAAAAACACTTTATATCGGAGTTGTCTCGAGATGTCTATGCGTATTCGATGCATAAGGCTAGTAGCGTAGCGTCTCTCTCCATTGAATACAGGCGGTTGACGTCAACAACCCTCATCGAATATTTAGAAATATATTACAATAATGAGATGTATCCATCAGTCCAAAGAAAGGATACGCGGGAGTTAGACAGCCCGCCATGCCGCTTTGTGCACAACGACTGCCATTGTTAGGGCAGAGAGACATGTATCTTGTCATTATATCCATAATATTTGATGTAGGCTCTTTTTGTGTTACGTAAAGAGGGTGCAGGAGTCATGTGACGAAATATTATCGCGATAACTGTTCCTTCCTGGAACAAAACAAATGACAGCTGATGTGTTGCCAAATGTCATTTCGCTGGCGTTTATCAAATTGTTTTACAAAGGTAGGTAAAATTGTTACTTTTTCTAGGGGTTTATCCTACAGTTTACATCTGATCATTATAGCTAACGTTAGCTACACCAAAAATACTGGTGGTGTTAGCTAGCTATATGTCCTTGTTTTCGCACTCCTCGAGAGCGCTACTTGTAGCTAGCTAGCTAGTAACGTTAGTTTAACGACACGATATTTTCCCCAGTTTTAAGATAGCTAGATGGCAGAGCTTATTTGGAATCAGCTGACAGTGACAGGTAAACAGGGGTACACTGTGCTAGCCATGATGACAGACGGGAGAGGGGAGGATATGTTTCGTTTTCCCGACAATAGCTAACTCTAAATAGCTAACCCTTACCCTATACAGCTCGTCACTGGAGACTGGTCTGAAACCACGCCTATTTGGTCGCAAGAACAGCCTTCATGTAAAGATAACACACATAGCTAGGTGATTGTGTATCATCAGTATTCACGTGAGTAAATGAGTGGTGTTGTTTTGCTGATGCATGAATTACAGGATAATCATTGGCCCTGTTTTGGCAGCCAGGACCAAGATGGCTAATGTGAGATTAGAAAATAATAATGTCCCAGAGACTGTGAGCTGACTGAGCTCTGTTGTGCTCCAATTAAACAGACCCACTGTTTTCTCACTCTAGAAGCCTGAGGGTGAATGTGGTGTGAGGAGTAAGGTGTGAAAGATATGACAGATGGAGGCAGTGAGACAAAAGAAGTCCAAGACCAGCAGCAGGTCTCAGGTATGTACAGTACGTTCCTGTATGTCCCTGAGGACAGACTCCTGTCTGATTATGAAATTATGGGGAAAGCATATGATAGTATGTATTACCCAGTCATTATTCATGAGTATTAACCAGGCAGACTACTGTTGTGTGTTACCCCCAACAGGACAGGAAACAGAGGCAGAGTGGAGGAGTGAAGAGTGCCACAGCTCGCTCTGCTGGTTGTGATGAGGAAGCTGGTGCTGCTACCCCACCCAGCTCTGAGTTCACAGACGTCCCCCTCAGTCTGCCATACGAGGGGACAGAGCAACAACAGGGTCTGGCAGGGGCATCAGAGACTTTATCAGAGACATCACAACCATCAACACAGATATTACCACAGACATCAGAGGAATCATTACCAGCATCACAGACACTATCATCATCCACATTATCACAGACATCGCTGACATTATCATCAACCTCACCCCAGACACTAGCAAAGCCCTCTGAGGCAGAGCCAGAGAAGAGGGATGAGGGGAGAGGAGAGGCCCAAGGGGCTGAGCTCAGAGCCCAACCACAGAGCACTGAGGTGGGGAGAGAGACCCAGAACAAAACCCACATCCAGACCCAGCCCTGTATATCTACAAAGCTTAAGATACCCTTGGCCCCCAGCGCCCCTGCCCTCTACCCCTTACTACCCACACTGGAGGAGGGCTCCCTGATGCAGCTGCATGAGGAGGCTCTGCGGGCCTGTGGGACAAGGGGCCCTGCTGTTCTGCCTCTAGGGGAGCAGGAGTGTCCTCCCAGTCTGGAGCCTGTTGTGGAGGTGGCTCCGTCTGAGGGCTCCAGGACCAGACTGTACCCTGAACTACCCCAGCCCAGCCCAGAACTACAGGTAACCACACACATCCTATGACCCATTGTGGGCTCGAAGCGCTTTATATTACAAATCTATCAATGTTATTTGAATCATATTTATTTATAGTGTCGACTGTGTTGTGTTTTTCCTACAGGCATTCTCGTTGGAGCAGCTTAGTGTGTGGGAGCCGGGTGGGGGGATGTGTGTGTGGGTGGAGGGGGTGGAGTTGTGTGCAGCCCGGTTCGCAGTGTTGGCCCGGCAGGAAGGCCACGAGCTGACGGACCTCCTGCAAAACTACTGGCGCTGCCGCAGACAGCTGACACACGCACACACACAGCTCCACACACAAACCTCTGACTGTAACACCACACAGAACCGACTCTGGAGCTTCAGAGATGAACAGCTCACACTTCAGGTGTGTGGTTAAATAGACAATGTTAGTATACAACTTAGCACATAACACAAAAGCTACAAAGTTATACAGTACACTTCTGTTCTTCATCTCTCTCTTTCCCCCACTCTCTAAACCCTTTCTTTCTTTCCAGGGTGTGTGTGGGGACCAGTCCAAGGTGTATGGCTACCACCGCTTCCAGCAGGCTGACTTTAGTGAGGCTGTGTTGGTGGAGCTGCGGAAGCTGTTTGAGGCCCGCACTGAACTCCTGCACCAGAAGGTGGCGCTGCACGCATACACAGCCCTGCTGTCACGTCTTCAGGTGGAGTCATACTTACACTGCCTGCTCCACGGTGAGAACACACTCTCACACAAACACACACACAGACGCACACACTGTACATACAAATACGCACAGGTGGGATTTAATTTAATATTCAACATATTGTACACATGGTTAATGTGTTTCTTTGTTTAATTAGTCAAGTGTGTATGTGTGTGTATTGTAGATATGTGTGATACCCAGAGCCAGCCCAGCTCCCTCCTCCCCCTGAAGGAGAGCATCAGTGTTCTCTTCAGCTTCACACGGAGAGTCCTGGATGACACGCAGTTCCAGACAGACATCCACCTCTGGCTGCAGAGACTGGTACACAGACACACACAGTGAACCTCAACACTAGCCCTGGTACAGCAGTACCAGTTGTCCCACCTGTTGTGCAGTTTAATCACGCTATGTGTGTGTGTGTTGTGTATAGGTGGCAGTGTTACTGCGTGTGGGGGGATCAGGAGAACACCTCTACATGTTGAACCATCTGCTGTGCTGTTCTGCAGGGGTGGGCAAGTGGGCTGCAACCTTCTTACAGGTGAGACACACCCTCTATCTAGTTTGTTTAATGTTTTGATTTCCTCTAAAGTAGGCCTGGTTTATGAATGAAGGCTCACTCCACTATTTCTGTATGCTTATTGGCAGGTTATCATATTTGGTTAACGATGCCATCATTGCCAGGTAAGGTTAGCAGTCTTAATTAAAACATGCTTGGGGGGGTGTGTTTCAGATCCAGGTCCTGGGAAATCCCTCAGGAGTTCAGCAGTTCATGCAGGCTCTTGCCATCCTCATGTCTCCAGTCAGGTAAAGAACCCTAACTTCTCACTCTGGCCCCTGACCCCTAACCCTACATGTCACCATCCTCATGTCTCCTGTCAGGTAGCCCTAACCTTGACCTTTCATCCCTAATCCTTACCTATTTACGTGATTTTTTAGTTGAACGTGCACATTTCAAGGTATAACCCTTTGGGTTTTTCCTCTGATCGTTGACCTTTCATCTTTAGACATCGTGCTGAGTTCATGAGCCACATGAAGCCCTGTGAGAGTCAGAGTGCTGCAGCCTCCGGCCCTGAGTCTGGCAACTGGACCCTAGTGGATGAAGGTGGAGAGGAGGTAACCATGCATGTGTTGGTGTGTGTGGTATTTCAGGGAACTGGACCCTAGGAGCGTTGAGGTAGAATTGTTGTAAGGTTGCTGATGTGTGTGTGTATGTGTGTGTTTTTCAGGATGAGGACCCAGAGAGCAGCTGGTTGTTACTGTGTGAAGAGGACCTGATCTCTCTGCTGTCCCAGTTCCCCTTCCAACAGCTCTTCACACATCTGCTGGGGATGAGCAAGAAGGGTTTGTGTGTGTGCAAGTGTCTGTGTGTACTTGTTTTCCTACATTATCAGGACCCCAATGTCCTAACATTTCACCCGAATGTCCTGAAAATGTAGGAAAACAATAACTTTTTTGAAAAGTCAGGACCTGAATTTGTTCAAATGCTATTTTAAGTTTAAGGTTTAGGGGTTAAGGTTAAGGGGTAGGGTTAGGATTAGGGAAAATACGATTTTTAATGGTCAAACATTTTTACACTCCAAAAAGTCCTGACATTTCACGAAAATAAAGCTGTGTGTGTATGTGCGTGCGCATGTGTTGTCATGTAGTTGTATTTGACTGACGTAGTAATTCTGTTATTCTAGTGACTGCTTTTTGGCTGTGTCTTCAGATGTGTGTATGCAGCTATGTGACTGTCTCACCAATAAATGGATGTTGTCTGTCTGTCTAGGTGTGTATGAGCCCAAGGCCTGCTCCAGTCAGAAGATGATGCGTGTGTTTGCGTTCGCCTCGTCTCTGATCGAGCTTCTGGCTGTGGGTCTACACACCTACAACAGAGCTCGCTACCGCCAGCTCGTAAAACGCATCGGACACACCATACGGTAAGACACCCACACACAGTACATTTAGATGGAGTAGATATATTTAGATCTAGATGTGTTTGTAAAGGTGTGTAACCACTGTCTCCTGTGCGCTCCCTCTCTGCAGGATGACGGTGTGTTATGTCAGTGATCACTGGGCCCAGTATGTGAGTGTTGCTGGTCCAGCCCGGCCCAGTACCATCTCTCTGGAGAAACTACAACTAGAATACGACCATCTGTTCCTCAGAGCTGTGCTACATGTCCTCAGAAACAAGAGGTGAGAGAGGGAAGACATGTAATGTTTTTGGCTATCTATTCTTGCAAGGCAGTAAGAATATTGATTTTGAGAGTATGGGGAGTGTGTGTATTATCTGACTGTGTGTTCTCCTAGGTTGGGTATCTGGCTGTTCATGTCAGAGATGCCCTATGGAACCCTGTCCAGTTCCATGCTGTGGAGAATTCTGTATGTGATGCAGTGTGCAGAGACCGCTGCACCAGACACACTCAACTCTACAGACAACACATACACCTGCCTACAGGCCCTCCGAGGTACATACACACATAATGATGATAGGAATTAATTGTATTCATAAAGTACTTAAAAAAATTTAAAAAATGTGCTAAAAAAAAAAACACAGAATAGAGCACAATATCATACATTCACACAGTGTGTCAGCACAGGAGCCATGCCTTAATGATGTACTAACATGTATTGCAGAGCCGAGTCACCAGGAGAGGTTTGAGAAATGGCTGTGTGAGGTCAACAGTTCTGATGGAATCTCTCTCCTCACGGCACTAGCTCACATGGCCATGCCTACCCACCACTCTGACCCCACCTTCATTACCACTATAGCTCTCCTCGTCTTCCAGGTAACACAAACACACACACATTATTTTTTCCCATTTTCACACGGAATGAATAGAGGTCACAGCAAAGCTGGCTGCCAGGGTCACCCTATATTTCTCTCCCTCCCTCCAGGTGTCCTATGTCAGTGTGTCTACGAGGGAAACCTACTCTAAGGTGGGGCGGGAGCTGCTGGCCGCCATAGCAACCGCTCATCCTTACATTATCTCAGTCCTGCTGGACAGACTCAGAGAGACCATAGAGACAGTCGGCATGGTAAGTGTGTGTGTGCGTGGCCTCTGTCAACTGCTGGGGTTGCTGTGGAAAGGAGGGGGGTGAAGACTTCAAGTGTAACAGAGGTGGTTCGGTTAAGTACACCTGCATGTTGATTAGCCTTGTGTATGTTAGGTGGCGCTGTACCTCTGTAAGGAGCTGCCCCTGTTCCTGTGGCGTCCTAGCCCGGAGGAAGTGTGTGTGATCGGGGGCTGGCTGCTCCAAAACCCCCTCTCTGCTGTGGAGAACAGCCTGGCCTGTGTCCTACTGGAGGGGCTGGACTGGGGCTACGCACAGGTACTACACACACTGCTACTATGCACACACACACCTAACCCTACGTTGAGTTTGAGTGTGTACAGTGTGTAATGTTGAGTGTGTGTGTCTTATAGGATGGGACTCTGGCCCTGCCCTCCTCTCTCCACAGTGAAGTTGCTCTGCTGGTGGCCGAAGCCTATCAGAAATACCTCACAGACAAACCATACAATGGACTCATCTCAGAGGGAATCAAACAGGTAACACAAACACGCACACATCATACACTCATCTCATCTCTGAGGTTAACACGTCTCTCTCTGTCTCTGTCGATCAGGTGTCCTACCTGGCTAGTGTTCTCCGTCTGGGTCTGTCTCCTGAGGCTTCCTTCAGCCAGTGGGCCTGGCAACTGTTGCTAAGGCTGAAGCTCCATGGCAACACCCAGTACCCTCAAGCAGCCTGGTCCACCTCCGGTTCTGCCCCTAACCCCTCCCCCGAGCTCACGCACACCCCCAACATGCACCCTGTTCTAAGGGCCGTAAAGGCGGGCATTCCCATTGGCTGCTACCTGGCCATCGCCATGACAACTGTAGGACACAAGTATGACCATCTGCTCTCTCTCTATCGGAATCACTTTATTCGCCAAGTACATTAACAACATACGTGGAATTTGACTTAATGAATAGGTGCTGCCAGCAATAGACAAATGTACAAACAGAATACAGACAGAGGGATTTAAACAAAGTCAACATACAGAATATACAATATAAATACAGTAAACATAAAACTCTAGAGTATAGGCTGAGCTACAGTGAGGATATACAATTTACAGTGGGGATATCTATATATGTAGAGGGAGGGATGCTGCTGTGACGTGTGTGTGTGTGTGTGTGTGTGTGTGTGTGTATATACAGTGGGGAAAAAAAGTATTTAGTCAGCCACCAATTGTGCAAGTTCTCCCACTTAAAAAGATGAGAGAGGCCTGTAATTTTCATCATAGGTACACGTCAACTATGACAGACAAATTGAGAAAAGAAAATCCAGAAAATCACATTGTAGGATTTTTAAGGAATTTATTTGCAAATTATGGTGGAAAATAAGTATTTGGTCACCTACAAACAAGCAAGATTTCTGGCTCTCACAGACCAGTAACTTTCCGCCACTCGTTACCTGTATTAATGGCACCTGTTTGAACTTGTTATCAGTATAAAAGACACCTGTCCACAACCTCAAACAGTCACACTCCAAACTCCACTATGGCCAAGACCAAAGAGCTGTCAAAGGACACCAGAAACAAAATTGTAGACCTGCACCAGGCTGGGAAGACTGAATCTGCAATAGGTAAGCAGCTTGGTTTGAAGAAATCAACTGTGGGAGCAATTATTAGGAAATGGAAGACATACAAGACCACTGATAATCTCCCTCGATCTGGGGCTCCACGCAAGATCTCACCCCGTGGGGTCAAAATGATCACAAGAACGGTGAGCAAAAATCCCAGAACCACACGGGGGGACCTAGTGAATGACCTGCAGAGAGCTGGGACCAAAGTAACAAAGCCTACCATCAGTAACACACTACGCCGCCAGGGACTCAAATCCTGCAGTGCTAGACGTGTCCCCCTGCTTAAGCCAGTACATGTCCAGGCCCGTCTGAAGTTTGCTAGAGTGCATCCAGAAGAGGATTGGGAGAAAGTCATATGGTCAGATGAAACCAAAATATAACTTTTTGGTAAAAACTCAACTTGTCGTGTTTGGAGGACAAAGAATGCTGAGTTGCATCCAAAGAACACCATACCTACTGTGAAGCATGGGAGTGAAAACATCATACTTTGGGGCTGTTTTTCTGCAAAGGGACCAGGACGACTGATCCGTGTAAAGGAAAAATGAATGGGGCCATGTATCGTGAGATTTTGAGTGAAAACCTCCTTCCATCAGCAAGGGCATTGAAGATGAAACGTGGCTGGGTCTTTCAGCATGACAATGATCCCAAACACACCGCCCGGGCAACGAAGGAGTGGCTTCGTAAGAAGCATTTCAAGGTCCTGGAGTCTCCAGATCTCAACCCCATAGAAAATCTTTGGAGGGAGTTGAAAGTCCGTGTTGCCCAGCGACAGCCCCAAAACATCACTGCTCTAGAGGAAATCTGCATGGAGGAATGGGCCAAAATACCAGCAACAGTGTGTGAAAACCTTGTGAAGACTTACAGAAAACGTTTGACCTGTGTCATTGCCAACAAAGGGTATATAACAAAGTATTGAGAAACTTTTGATATTGACCAAATACTTATTTTCCACCATAATTTGCAAATAATTCATTAAAAATCCTACAATGTGATTTTCTGGATTTTTTTTTCTAATTTTGTCTGTCATAGTTGACGTGTACCTATGATGAAAATTACAGGCCTCTCTCATCTTTTTAAGTGGGAGAACTTGCACAATTGGTGGCTGACTAAATACTTTTTTTCCCCACTGTATATATATATATATATACAGTGGGGCAAAAAAGTATTTAGTCAGCCACCAATTGTGCAAGTTCTCCCACTTAAAAAGATGAGAGAGGCCTGTAATTTTCATCATAGGTACACGTCAACTATGACAGACAAATTGAGAAAAAAAAATCCAGAAAATCACATTGTAGGATTTTTTATGAATTTATTTGCAAATTATGGTGGAAAATAAGTATTTGGTCACCTACAAACAAGCAAGATTTCTGGCTCTCACAGACCTGTAACTTCTTCTTTAAGAGGCTCCTCTGTCCTCCACTCGTTACCTGTATTAATGGCACCTGTTTGAACTTGTTATCAGTATAAAAGACACCTGTCCACAACCTCAAACAGTCACACTCCAAACTTCACAATGGCCAAGACCAAAGAGCTGTCAAAGGACACCAAAAACAAAATTGTAGACCTGCACCAGGCTGGGAAGACTGAATCTGCAACAGGTAAGCAGCTTGGTTTGAAGAAATCAACTGTGGGAGCAATTATTAGGAAATGGAAGACATACAAGACCACTGATAATCTCCCTCGATCTGGGGCTCCATGCAAGATCTCACCCCGTGGGGTCAAAATGATCACAAGAACGGTGAGCAAAAATCCCAGAACCACACGGGGGGACCTAGTGAATGACCTGCTGAGAGCTGGGACCAAAGTAACAAAGCCAACCATCAGTAACACACTACGCCGCCAGGGACTCAAATCCTGCAGTGCGAGACGTGTCCCCCTGCTTAAGCCAGTACATGTCCAGGCCCGTCTGAAGTGCATTTGGATGATCCAGAAGAGGATTGGGAGAATGTCATATGGTCAGATGAAACCAAAATATAACTTTTTGGTAAAAACTCAACTCGTCATGTTTGGAGGACAAAGAATGCTGAGTTGCATCCAAAGAACACCATACCTACTGTGAAGCATGGGGGTGGAAACATCATGCTTTGGGGCTGTTTTTCTGCAAAGGGACCAGGACGACTGATCCGTGTAAAGGAAAGAATGAATGGGGCCATGTATCGTGAGATTTTGAGTGAAACCCTCCTTCCATCAGCAAGGGCATTGAAGATGAAACGTGGCTGGGTCTTTCAGCATGACAATGATCCCAAACACACCGCCCGGGCAACGAAGGAGTGGCTTCGTAAGAAGCATTTCAAGGTCCTGGAGTGGCCTAGCCAGTCTCCAGATCTCAACCCCATAGAAAATATTTGGAGGGAGTTGAAAGTCTGTGTTGCCCAGCGACAGCCCCAAAACATCACTGCTCTAGAGGAGATCTGCATGGAGGAATGGGCCAAAATACCAGCAACAGTGTGTGAAAACCTTGTGAAGACTTACAGAAAACGTTTGACCTGTGTCATTGCCAACAAAGGGTATATAACAAAGTATTGAGAAACTTTTGTTATTGACCAAATACTTATTTTCCACCATCATATGCCAATAAATTCATTAAAAATCCTACAATGTGATTTTCTGGATTTTTTTTTCTAATTTTGTCTGTCATAGTTGACGTGTACCTATGATGAAAATTACAGGCCTCTCTCATCTTTTTAAGTGGGAGAACTTGCACAATTGGTGGCTGACTAAATACTTTTTTCCCCCACTGTATATATATATACACATATATATATATATATACACATATATATACATACTGTCTTGTGAAGAAGTGTACATGGCGCAAAAGCAGTATAGCGCCGTTTTTAGTATTACAGGTCAGTGATGCAGTGTTCGGTGCAGTCGCTCAATCCCTATGAGCCCTATGGCCGGTTGGTGAGGGCCACAGCACAGTGACACCATACAGACACACATCACCTGTGTGTATAAAGTCTCACTCTGTACTATTGTGTGTAACATCTCTCTCTCTGTCTGTCTGTCTGTTATCCCAGTCTGGAGGTGTTTTGCACAGAGGGAGTGGATCTGTTGAGGAGTCTGATTCAGTCTCAACATCTGAGAGCTGCTGTCCATCTACTGGACAACATCCTCCCTCCTACCTACCCTCTCAGCTTCTACCTGCTGAAGAACACACAGTAAGATATACACACTACACACTATGTCCTAGACACTACATCCTCCATCTACTGGACAACATCCTCCCTCTTTTCTGTTTGATCAGCTTCTACAGTTAACTTTCAGTACCTTTTACCCCTCCCTAAACGAAACTGTAAAATCCCACTAAAATCTCACAAAACTGGTGGGCTGTGGTATTGCTGTGTTTGGACTACAATATACTCCCTCCCTCTCTCTGTGCCAGGTTTGTGGGCTGTGTCCAGTTGTTCCTGCAGTGTGACGGTGTGTGTCCTCAGGGTGTAACACAGCAGGTCACTCACAGGGTGGCGCCACTCTTCACTGGAGGCACCTATGGGGACATGGTACGCCTGCTCAACAGTGTGATACAGGTATGTACACACACCTAATACATATCCATCAGAACTGGGGTGAAACATGGGGTTAACCAAACTTATGGATCAGTAGTTTGGCCAACTAGAACTGGATGCCATGTTACTGCCCCTGAACATTCCATTAATCTATTCATGATGAGTGTGTGTTTATTATCTTTCAGACTCACGTGGTGGAGAGTTCTAGGCCAGGTCGTGTGGGTCCGGCAGCGGTTCTAGAGTTCTGGGTGGGAATTCTAACCCAGCAGAACCTGTGGTACCGAGACAGAACCGTTCTATTCCTGATGGATCAGATCTGTCGTGCTGCCTTCACACACCACCAGGAGGAGTGTGTACAGAGATTACTGTACCAGCAGCACAAGGTATGTACACACAGAGACAGGAGAGTCCCATATATTTCAGCTGTTATGCTTATTTTGATCAGTGTGTGTTATTTTTGTGTGAAGAAAATGTACACACACAGAGTACACACACACTGTAGCTCAGTCTGTGATGCTCTCTGTCGCACCCCTCTGGTAGATTGCCTTAGGTTATCATGGAGACCGGGGTCTGCTCTCTTCCCTGGTTGGCTGGATCGCTGGAAATGCCACACCCTCATTCATTGAGGGCCTATCGATGAGCGGGGAGGTGAGAACTTTAACCTCAGTCCTATCTAACTTCTCCTATCCGTGCTGTCATTCTGTGTGAAACAGAATTACTTTATTTTGCAGCATTTCCCAATGAAATCTGCAAAAAAAAAAGGCTATTGTCTGTAGGTGTGGTTTTATATGTGAAATGATAACTGTGTATGTGTAGGTGTGGTTTTATATGTGAAATGATAACTGTGTGTGTGTAGGTGTGGTTTTATGTGAAATTATAACTGTGTGTGTGTAGGTGTGGTTTTATATGTGAAATGATAACTCTGTGTGTGTAGGTGTGGTTTTATATGTGAAAATTATAACTGTGTGTGTGTAGGTGTGGTTTTATATGTGAAAATTATAACTGTGTGTGTGTAGGTGTGGTTTGCGTGGCTGGTTTTGAACATGGAGGGGATGTTTGAGGAGGATTCTCAGCTGAGACGCTGTGTGGAGCACGAACTACTGTCTGACCCCAACATGTCACCTGACCAGGCCCTGAAGGTACACACACCACACACACTCCAACCTGTCACCTGACCAGGCCCTGAAGGTACACACACCACACACACTCCAACCTGTCACCTGACCAGGCCCTGAAGGTACACACACCACACACACTCCAACCTGTCACCTGACCAGGCCCTGAAGGTACACACACCACACACACTCCAACCTCTCACCTGACCAGGCCCTGAAGGTACACACACCACACACACTCCAACCTGTCACCTGACCAGGCCCTGAAGGTACACACACCACACACACTCCAACCTCTCACCTGACCAGCAGAACAGTAAAACGATGAGAGATTTATAGGCCTTAATCTGAGAAACATGATGTTTGTGTTTCACTATCTTTATGTTTCTTGTGTGTGTGAGACAGAAGGCCCAGCAGCGGTTGAAGCTCCCAGTGGCTCCATCTCTGCAGCGGCTGCAGGTGTACAGGTGGGCGTGTCAGGCTTTGGCCACACCCCCTGACCACCCACTACTCCCCCTCGTCTGGCAGAGGTTCCTGCAGCTCTACCTGAGACAGCCAGGACCTGAGTATGGGTACGACACACACGCCTAACACCATAACCTCTAGGCCAGGGGTTCTCAAACTTTTTGGGGCCGGGGACCCCTTTTTTGATAGCAAATTCATCAGGTACCCCCTCATAATCAGAACACAACTCGGGTGAGATGATAAATAGCATACAAAGTGTTTTACTATGACTTCTGCAGTGCATGGCTGGATGAACCAAGTCTTTGGCCCTACATACATACGTGTGTATATATGTATGTATACATACATATGTATGTGTGTGTGTGTGTGTGTGTGTGTGTGTGTGTGTGTGTGTATATATATATATATATATATATATATATATATATATATATATATATACAGGGGGGAGAACAAGTATTTGATACACTGCCGATTTTGCAGGTTTTCCTACTTACAATGCATGTAGAGGTCTGTAATTGTTATCATAGGTACACTTCAACTGTGAGAGACAGAATCTAAAACAAAAATCCAGAAAATCACATTGTATGATTTTTAAGTAATTAATTTGCATTTTATTGCATGACATAAGTATTTGATACATCAGAAAAGCAGAACTTAATATTTGGTACAGAAACCTTTGTTTGCAATTACAGAGATCATACGTTTCCTGTAGGTCTTGACCAGGTTTGCACACACTGCAGCAGGGATTTTGGCCCACTCCTCCATACAGACCTTCCCCAGATCCTTCAGGTTTCGGGGCTGTCGCTGGGCAATACGGACTTTCAGCTCCCTCCAAAGATTTTCTATTGGGTTCAGGTCTGGAGACTGGCTAGGCCACTCCAGGACCTTGAGATGCTTCTTACGGAGACACTCCTTAGTTGCCCTGGCTGTGTGTTTCGGGTCGTTGTCATGGTGGAAGACCAAGCCACGACCCATCTTCAATGCTCTTACTGAGGGAAGGAGGTTGTTGGCCAAGATCTCGCGATGCATGGCCCCATCCATCCTCTCCTCAATACGGTGCAGTCGTCCTGTCCCCTTTGCAGAAAAGCATCCCCAAAGAATGATGTTTCCACCTCCATGCTTCACGGTTGGGATGGTGTTCTTGGGGTTGTACTCATCCTTCTTCTTCCTCCAAACACGGCGAGTGGAGTTTAGACCAAAAAGCTCTATTTTTGTCTCATCAGACCACATGACCTTCTCCCATTCCTCCTCTGGATCATCCAGATGGTCATTGGCAAACTTCAGACGGGCCTGGACATGCGCTGGCTTGAGCAGGGGGACCTTGCGTGCGCTGCAGGATTTTAATCCATGACAGCATAGTGTGTTACTAATGGTTTTCTTTGAGACTGTGGTCCCAGCTCTCTTCAGGTCATTGACCAGGTCCTGCCGTGTAGTTCTGGGCTGATCCCTCACCTTCCTCATGATCATTGATGCCCCACGAGGTGAGATCTTGCATGGAGCCCCAGACCGAGGGTGATTGACCGTCATCTTGAACTTCTTCCATTTTCTAATAATTGCGCCAACAGTTGTTGCCTTCTCACCAAGCTGCTTGCTTATTGTCCTGTAGCCCATCCCAGCCTTGTGCAGGTCTACAATTTTATCCCTGATGTCCTTACACAGCGCTCTGGTCTTGGCCATTGTGGAGAGGTTGGAGTCTGTTTGATTGAGTGTGTGGACAGGTGTCTTTTATACAGGTAACGAGTTCAAACGGGTGCAGTTAATACAGGTAATGAGTGGAGAACAGGAGGGCTTCTTAAAGAAAAACTAACAGGTCTGTGAGAGCCGGAATTCTTACTGGTTGGTAGGTGATCAAATACTTATGTCATGCAATAAAATGCAAATTAATTACTTAAAAATCATACAATGTGATTTTCTGGATTTTTGTTTTAGATTCCATCTCTCACAGTTGAAGTGTACTTATGATAAAAATGACAGACCTCTACATGCTTTGTAAGTAGGAAAACCTGCAAAATCGGCAGTGTATCAAATACTTGTTCTCCCCACTGTGTGTGTATGTATATATATATATATATAATTATTTTTTTGATTTGGCCGTGGACCCCCTGCAGTACCTCCGGACCCCACTTTGAGAACCCCTGCTCTAGGCTGCATCTGGTTCTAAATTTAGTAATGTTCTCATTGTCCCCCTGTTTCTGTTGTCTGCAGTCTGGATGCAGGGGGCTGTATTGGTCGTCGGTTCTTCCAGAGCTCGTCTCAGGCTGTGTTACTGAGAGATCTGAGACAGAGACTACAGGAGGTGTCTGACTTCCACCATGCCGCCAGCCAGGCCCTGAGGGTGCCCCCCCCACACACCCCCAGCCAGGGAGAGGACCGCCCCGACTCCCCCCCGCCTCTCTTCCTCACTTCCCCACATCTACACACAGAGCTGGTCAGGTACGTACAGCTACAAGCCCCTCCCCTTAACTCTGTTGTGACTGGCTGTTTCCCAGGCTGATCTGATTGGTTGCTTCCAGGCTGTTTGGTGTGTTTGCCGTGTGGTTGGACGATGAGACTCTTCAGAAGAAGGAAGTGTATCTGCCCTCTCTCCCACCACAGTATGACCCCCACAGACTGGCCAAGGTCATGCACAAACAACAGGTGTGTGTGTCTCGTGTGTTTGTTGTGTATACCGAGAGTTTTTCCTTGCCACTCTTGCCTCTGCTTTGCCTTTGATGTATTGTATTGGTTGGTTGATGTATCGTATCGTATTGTATTGGTTGATACATGTATTGAATTGGTTGATAGATGTATCGTATTGTATTGGTTGATACATGTATCGTATTGTATTGGTTGATACATGTATCGTATTGTATTGGTTGATAGATGTATTGGTTGATAGATGTATCATATTGTATTGGTTGATAGATGTATTGGTTGATAGATGTATTGGTTGATATATGTATTGGTTGATAGATGTATTGGTTGATAGATGTATTGGTTGATAGATGTATCATATTGTATTGGTTGAGTGTAGGAGCTGTGGGTGGAGTATGTGGACCAGGAGCGTGTCCAGTATGATGAGAGGGAGGTCCTTGATCTCTGGGAGAAAGTGAAGAATGAACCCACCTTCATACAGAGCAACAACCCTGCCTTCACTGACTACACCAACCCCAGAGCAGGTACACGCACATGAACACAGCCTCAGTACATAGCAGGTACACAACGAAGTTGTGACTGAATGAATTCCATTTTTATTTTCGTGTCAAATCGCCAGTTGGCAACCCATCCCTTACGGGATGAATTGACACATAAACATTACAATAATTCACTGTGATAAATCAGTGATCATTCTTCCGGTGTTCTGTGCTGTGCGCACCGCATAAAGAGTGAAAAGGAAATATAGTAAATAAGGTTATCCAAGCAATAATTGTATTCCTAGAGCAGTAATAATACAAATAAATACAGTTAAATAAATACAGAGAAAAGAAACAGAAGGTGTTTGAACCAAGTCTGACACAAAGAGAAGATTCAAGTGTGAGACAAGCCTACACACAATCTGCATGCATACGTGCCATTCGCTATATAGGAGCAAAATATTTGTATAATTTAATTATAGGTCAACCTTTTTCTTTTATTCCAGGCTTTATCAAAAAATTCCGCAAACGGAAATACACAATGGACAAAAAAACATTTCTGTTTTTCCCCTCATGGCTCAGCCACATAATGCCAGGGTATATCTGGTGGGCTTTCTGGAATAAGGACAAGCGTATATCGTGGTAGAAAGGACAATAGAGGATCAAATGAGTTTCATTCTCTATTTCATCGAGGTCACAATAGTTACATAGTCTTTCCTCTTCCATTTCACCACAATACCGACCTGTTTCAATACGCAGAGGCAATATCCCTGATCTTACCTGTGCACATAGCAATCTCTTTCTTTTAGGTAGGGTGTACATTGGAAATTAATCTAGTGCTACAAACCAAGCTGTCTTGTTATTGTCATTGTTGCAACCGTGTGTGTGTGTGTGTGTGTGTGTGTGTGTGTGTAGCGAGGAAGCGTATTCAGTCTAACCTGCAGAAGCACGCTATCCCTCGGCCACTCCCCGAGCTGCAGTCGCAGAGAGCTCCAGTACCAGACGTCCCCTCCGCCTGCCTCACTGACCCTGCTGCTGCCTCCACTCTCCTACAGCAGGACCTCAGCTGTCTGCAGGAGCAGGCCAGGTACACACACACACACACACACACACACACACACACACACACACCAACCATCGCGCCATTGATGTATACCCGTATGTGATGTTTTGGGACATGGCTCAGTGTGCTTGGTGTGTTCAGGTTTGCAGTGTCTCGGGAGGCCCAGCAGGTGGCACTGGAGTCAGAGCTGCTGGAGAGTCTTCCTCTGCTCTACAGGAACAGACCAGAGCAGGTTACCATGGCGCTTGAGTGCAGAGGGCAGAGGGGGGGCCAGCCCTGCCAGGGAGCTGCACACATCACTGTGACGGTAGGACTTTTATATGAGTCTATTCTGTTTTGATAGAATTTTCAGAGTGGGCTGATTCTGCTTGACAATCCCACTAAGAAAGGGGGATGCCATGATTATGCCATCCTACGACTGCTTTTAACTGACTGTTCAAATAATGTAAACATGCATCCTCATTCCCATCTGTGTGTGTGTGTGCAGTGCGAGTGTGTGCAAAAGCAGGAAGCAGTGGAGACTCAGATCGTGTCTCTGCAAAGCGACATTAAGCAGCTGCAGACGGAAGCCAAGACTCCTCCCCCTCAGAGCCTTGCCCAGGCTGCAGTACACACCGAGAACTTCATTACGTCAGTACACACACACTCACACACACCATACTTGTATTAATTATTTCTCAATAATACTTTTTTATAGTCATATGTGCCATAAAGTAAATAAAATGTGTGTGTGTAGGGCTCTGGTGAATTTGTACAAGGCCAAGCCGACGGCAGCAGTGCAGAATGTAGGAGTGGCTGCCTTCTACAAGGTTGTCTCATTTGTCTGTGAAGACACACTCCGCCACCCACCCACCCGCCAGTACCTCTCCTCCTGCATCGAGATACTGGGACAGGTACTACACACACACAAACTCATTTCATACATGTTTGATGTGACTGTGTGTGTAGGTGTTTATCCAGTGTGTGTGTGTGTGTGTGTGTGTGTGTAGATGTTTATCCAGTGTGTGTGTGTAGGTGTTAATCCAGTGTGTGTGTTTGTAGGTGTTTATCCAGGGCACCCAGGCAGAGTGTGGGCGTGTCCTGAGCACTATCCTGGAGCAGAGACGTCTGTGTCCCCTCCTCTCCCCTTTCTTCACCCCAAACGCAGCGCCCAATCAGCTTGTCTCTCTCTACAAGGAAGTGGTGACATCACTGCACCCTGACAGCGCTGATGTCATCTTCATGCTGCTCACTAAGGTCAGCCTCAACCTTCAGAAAGCCTTGCAGGACCACCTTAACATACAGAACACACACATCCTTCACACAGAACACTTCCACCTCGACACATCACACAGACAACTGGAGGCCTGTGGCATTGCTATGTTAGGATGACCAGATCCTTTCTCTCCCTGTGTAGTTTGACCTGAGTGCATGGCTGAGTAAGGCCGAGCCAGTGTTCTCGGAGCGTAGCAGGCTGGTAGAGCTGGTCCACACTGCTCTGTGTTCCTGTGGCCGTGACCCTGAGGCTGATCTCCTCACGCCCTTTCACCTCTTCACACGACACTGGACCCTGCTGCTCAAACACCACTTCCCTGACCACTACAGCGACTGCCTGCGCCTGCTCATGACCAGTAAGATTTGTTTGTTTGCTCTAAACTGTGTTCGCACATGCACTAATTGCGGACTTCAACATGCAACGTGTATGCAGACTTCTAAAGTCTGTTTGTGTGTGTCATTGTCAGGTTCGACAGAGCAGTTGCTGAGCCCAGAGTGTTGGAGGGTGACTCTGTGTGTGCTGGGCATCTCTCCTGCCCCCTGTAACACCAAAACCACAGCAGAGCCTTCCGGGACCGCCGATACCCCCAAACCCACATCCACCTCCCCCAGCCAAGCCCCCATCACCCTCTCTCCTCAGCAGGTGAGTGCTGAAAGTCCTCACTAAATCCACATATTCAATACTGTTCTTTTACAATACAGTTTATTTACCCCTGCCTTGTCTCCTGATTGGCCCTCCTCAGGTGGAGGAGACGGTTGATTGGCTGTGTGAGTATTTTCAGCGTTGTCGTCTCAGTAAGTCGGACCTCCGCAGCTTTGGCCTTTACTCCGCCTGGGCACCATACGTCAGTGAGGTCACCACGTTCTGGGGATATCTGATTGGCTACCTCATCGACCTGCAGCTCAGCGCCTGCGCCAGGGAGCCACTGGGGGGAGCCAGAGTACTGAAAGGTACCAGACACAGTTTCTGCTGTTTTTCATTAAGTCGTTCTGCTTTTTTTCCCAGTCGCTGTTGACAGATCTCCCCCTCCCCACCTCTCATCTCTTCCTCTTTCTGTCTCTCTCAGCCCTGCAGGATCTACACAGTAAGATGGTCCGACTATTTAAGCCCTGGATCCTGGTTCTGGAGACAGACGATGTCAGGTAAACACACCTCCCTATCCTTCCATCTATTTCTCTCCATCTTTGCCACTGTCTTTCTATCTCACTCACCCCTTTCTTACTTCGCCTTGCATAACACTCACAAAAATAGAGGCCTGTGGCATTGCGCTGTTTGGACTAGAATATGTTCTCTCTCTCTCCTCTCTCTCTCTCTCTCTCCTCTCTCACACGGTCTCTCTCTTTTCTTTCTGTCCTCCTTTCTGTCTCTCTCAGTAATCCAAGGTGTTATCCCTGGTTGGAGTCAGATGCCAGCGCTGCACGCTGTCTTGTGGGACTCTACACCCAGCTCACCCAAACACTACACTACAAGTTCAGAGGTTTGTGTGTGATGTTAGATGTCATAAAAGTCATTCATGTGTTTGAGCCTACATTTAAGATACCCATAAACGTGTGTTCCAGACCGCCTCCTCCCCGGGCAGCGTGGAGTTCTGTGGCTGTGTCTGATGCAGTACTGTGACAGCTGCAGCTCTCCTTGTACTCCAGAGTACCTCCTCTACCTTTACCACACACACCTCCGCAGCCTGCCCTGGACACACCTGCACCCTGATACACACCTCATGGAACAGCTCTTCAATGTAAGACCCTAGCCCTGACCCCTTACTCTGACCCCAGTCCTTAATCCCTAACCTCAACCCACAACTCATTGGATTCCTAAAACAAACTGACTCCTCGTACACTTTGAGTATCACAGTTAATAGGACTTGTTTGTGGGTAGTGCTGTGTGATGTAGCATAAGGGAGGTGTAGAGTGTTTCTTTACCCAAGGTTAATCTGTTCTCCTGCAGGTGGAGAGAGGAAGTCCTAAGAGCTGCTTCCTGTTCCTGGGGGCAGTCCTCTGTGAGGTCAACTGGGTCAGCGTTCTGAGTGACAGCCTGCAAACTCCGGCCAGCTCTAACAGGAACATACACACAGACTCACACAAGATGCTGGTGTATCTGCTCTACATGCTGGTGTTCCTTACTAAAGAAGAGCAGCTTCTCAGCCAACCGGTGAGTGAGTATTAGGACACTGGATAGATGCATTTGTGTTTGTACACGACTTCATATTCGCGTTGTTTATTTATTTATGTATTACCTCATTATGACTGGTGTGTAGCTCTGTTAAAAACTCCCCATGTCGGTGGGTCCCTGGTTTAGCTTATTTTCCCCTCTGTCCTCCAGGACTCCCCTCTCCTTAGTCTGTTGGTCCAGTCCGCTTCCCTGCCATGGCACCAGGTGGACCATTCCTCCTACCAAGGGATCATGGGATATGTAGGTACCCACTACCCTCACGCTCTGCTGCTCAGCACAGACTCCGCCCCTCAGACGCTTCTCCAATCACTACGCAGCGCTGCTGGGCTACAGCCACGCCCCCACGGGACGCCATACCAGGTGAGAAAGAGGGAACACAGAATGTCACCGTCCCTCGCTTTCTCTAGTTTTATCATTAACAGACAGTCAATCTCTCCTCACTCTATTATAGACAGTCTCTTTCATTACCACAGACAAAATGAATGCACTAATCTCTCTCTCTCTCTCTCTCTCTCTCTCTCCCTCTCTCTCTAGGAGGAGACGTTGAAGGCCGGTGTGTGTGTGCACTGGTGTGTCCAGTGCCTGGTCTCTCTGGAGCAGAGTGGCAGCATCAGTCTGGCTAACCTGGAGACGCAGCTAGAGACACTACTGGACAGCATCATCACCTTCAACCCACCTGGTAAGAAATCTTCATATTCATCATCATCATCATCATCACCTTCATCAATAACCTCACTCTGTCTCTCTCTGTGTGTGTGTGTAGAGGTGGGCTTGGAGCAGAGACACATGGCGTTCTGTAGTCTGTTCTGTGATTCGTTGGCTTTGCTGAACGGAGTGGGCGTGTCTACAGCTGAGGCCCTGGCAGCTCGTGTCATTGGCTGGCTAGACAGGAAGGGGCAGGGTTTCCCAGTGCTGCCGCTCCTGACAGCTTGCTCCCGTTGCCTAGCGTCCGTACGCCACATGACCCGCATCACCGAGGCTTGCATCACCGCCTACTTCACCCATGGTAAACACGGTGACAGTAACCATGTGAGGGGTTTAGCAGGGAAGGTCTTAGGGGAGGATCTATGTCAGGGTTTGTTAGCAGGGGGTACTGGTGACGGACAGATGTATTTTATTTCACACATGAGGTGAAAACCTCACTATCTCTTGCGCTCCCCTCCATCTCTCCATCTTTCTCGCTCTAGCAGAAGAGGAGGGTGTGGGGTGGGGTCCTGTGTTGGCGTCCCTGCAGGTGCCTGAGCTGACCGTGGATGACTTCCTGTCAGAGAGCCAATCAGGAGGCAGCTTCCTGACACTCTATGCTTACATCCTGCAGCGCCTCAACACGGAACACACAGCGGCCAATGAGAAGAGGACGCTCGCTCTACTCAACACATGGACCAGTCAGGTCTTCCCCAGGTCTGACCCCCCCCCCCTGTGTGTCTCTGTGTGTTTATGTGTGTGTTTGTTGTTAATATCATTTTTTCTCTCTCCCAGTGGTCCCTATGATGAGGCCAAGTTGTTCCTCTGGTGGCACAAGGCCCTGTGTGTGTCTGTGGAGCATCTGCAGCAGGGGCTGGGGGAGGTCCCAGCCGTGGTAGCGGGGCTGCGGCAGCTGCAGACACGGCTCTCTCAGATGGGAGAGGAGAGACTCAGCTCAGGACTGCTGGGGGCTATAGGATTGGGCCGCCGATCACCCCTATCCAACAGGTACACACACTCACAGACATACTGTATTCAGACCCCTTGACTTTTACAGCATTATTCTAAAATTGATTTAAAAAATAATAGTCCTCTGCAATCTACACACAATACCCCATAATGACAAAGCGAAAACAGGTTTTTAGAAATGTTTGCAAATTTAATAAAATAAAAAAACTGAAATACCTTATTTACATAAGTATTCAGACCCTTTGCTATGAGAATCAAAATTGAGCTCCGGTGCATCCTGTTTCCATTGATCATCCTTGAGATTTCTCTACAACTTGATTTGGAGTGCACCTGTGGTAAATTCAATTGATTGGACATGATTTGGAAAGGCACACACTTGTCTATATAAGGTCCCACAGCTGACAGTGCATGTCAGAGCAAAAACAAGCCATGAGATCGAAGGAATTGTCCGTAGAGCTCCAAGACAGGATTGTGTCGAGGCACAGATCTGGGGAAGGGTACCAAAAAATGTCTGCAGCATTGAAGGTCCCCAAGAACACAGTGTTCTCCATCATTCTTAAATGGAAGAAGTTTGGAACCACCAAGACTCTTCCTAGAGCTGGTCGCCAGGCCAAACTGAGCAATCGGGGGAGAAGGGCCTTGGTCAGGGAGGGGACCAAGAACCCGATGGTCACTCTGACAGAGCTCTAGAGTTCCTCTGTGGAGATGGGAGAACCTTCCAGAAGGACAACCATCTCTGCAGCACTCCACCAATCATGCCTTTATGGTAGAGTGGCCAGACTGAAGCCACTCCTCAGTAAAAGTCACATGACAGCCTGCTTGGAGTTTGCCAAAAGGCACCTAAAGACTCTCAGACCATGAGAAACAAGATTCTCTGGTCTAATGAAACCAAGATTGAAGTCTTTGGCCTGAATGCCAAGCGTCACGTCTGGAGGAAACCTGGCACCATCCCAACGGAGAAGCATGGTGGTGGCAGAATCATGCTGTGGGGATGTTTTTCAGCGGCAGAGACTGGGAAACTAGTCAGGATCGAGGCAAAGATGAACAGAGCAAAGTACAGAGAGATCCTTGATGAAAACCTGCTCCAGAGCGCTCAGGACCTCAGACTGGGGCGAAGGTTCACCTTCCAACAGGACAACGACCCTAAGCACACAGCCAAGACAATGCAGGAGTGGCTTCGGGACAAGTCTCTGAATGTCCTTGAGTGGCCCAGCCAGAGCCCGGACTTGAACCCGATCTAACATCTCTGGAGAGACCTGAAAATAGCTGCGCAGCGATGCTCCCCATCCAACCTGACAGAGCTTGAGAGGATCTGCAGAGAAGAATGGGAGAAACTCCACAAATACAGGTGTGCCAAGCTTGTAGCATCATACCCAAGAAGACTCAAGGCTGTAATTGCTGCCAAAGGTGCTTCAACAAAGTACTGAGCAAAGGGTCTCAATACTTATGTAAATGTGATATTTTATTTTCAATAGTTTTGCAAACTATTCTAAAAACCTGTTTTTGCTCTGTCATTACGGGGTAGTGTGTGTAGATTGAGATTTAAAAAAAATGTGTGTATAAAGTCAAGGGGTCTGAATACTTTCCGAAGGCACTGTATATACACCTTCTGTGTTTACTGTGTGTATCTTTTGGTAACTCCGGTGTGTGTGCATGTTTAGGTTCAGGGTGGTGGTGCGCAGTCTGTCTGCGTTTCTCTCAGTCCAGATTCCCTCAGAGGACCAGGTCCGCCTCCAGCCCAGCACTGACCAGCAGCTGACTGCTAAAGCACAACAGGTACACATATAGTGGCTTGCGAAAGTATTCACCCCCCTTGGCATTTTTCCTATTTTGTTGCCTTACAACCTGGAATTAAAATGGATTTTTGGGGGGTTTGTATCATTTGATTTACACAACATGCCTACCACTTTGAAGATGCAAAATATGTTTTATTGTGAAACAAATAAGAAATACTACAAAAACAGAACTTGAGCGTGCATAACTATTCACCCCCCCCCCCCAAAATCAATACTTTGTAGGGCCACCTTTTGCAGCAATTACAGCTGTAAGTCTCTTGGGTATGTCTCTATAAGCTTGGCACATCTAGCCACTGGGATTTTTGCCCATTCTTCAAGACAAAACTGCTCCAGCTCCTTCAAGTTGGATGGGTTCCGCTGGTGTACAGCAATCTTTAAGTCATACCACAGATTCTCAATTGGATTGAGGTCTGGGCTTTGACTAGGCCATTCCAAGACATTTAAATGTTTCCCCTTAAACCACTCGAGTGTTGCTTTAGCAGTATGCTTAGGGTCATTGTCCTGCTGGAAGGTGAACCTCCGTCCCAGTCTCAAATCTCTGGAAGACTGAAACAGGTTTCCCTCAAGAATTTCCCTGTATTTAGCGCCATCCATCATTCCTTCAATTCTGACCAGTTTCCCAGTCCCTGCCGATGAAAGGTGTTCTCGGGGTGATTAGAGGTGTTGGGTTTGCGCGAGACATAGCGTTTTCCTTGATGGCCAAAAAGCTCAATTTTAGTCTCATCTGACCAGAGTACCTTCTTCCATATGTTTGGGGAGTCTCCCACCTGCCTTTTGGTGAACACCAAACGTGTTTGCTTATTTATTTCTTTAAGCAATGGCTTTTTTTGGCCACTCTTCCATAAAGCCCAGCTCTGTGGAGTGTACAGTTTGAAGTGGTCCTATGGACACATACTCTAATCTCCAATGTGGAGCTTTGCAGCTCCTTCAGTGTTATCTTTGGTCTCTTTGTTGCCTCTGATTAATGCCCTCCTTGCCTGGTCTGTGAGTTTTGGTGGGCGGCCCTCTCTTGGCAGGTTTGTTGTGGTGCCATATTCTTTCAATTTTTGAATAATGGATTTAATGGTGCTCTGTGGGATGTTCAAAGTTTCTGATATTTTTTTATAACCCAACCCTGATCTGTACTTCTCCACAACTTTGTCCCTGACCTGTTTGGAGAGCTCCTTGGTCTTCATGGTGCAGCTGGTTTGGTGGTGCCCCTTGCTTAGTGGTGTTGCAGACTCTGGGGCCTTTCAGAACAGGTGTATATATACTGAGCTCATGTGACAGATCATGTGACACAGGTGGACTTTATTTAACTAATTATGTGACTTCTTGTTATGTGAATTATTTAACAAACTATTTTAGTGTCTCTGTGCGTCTCCTAAAAGGTTGTAAGTCTTTTGGGATTTAAGTAACGGCCAGAGTCCCGGTCTGCATAGTCAGAGATATTTATTCATTGAGAATTCTGCCATCACAATTTCAGAGTCCATCTTTTATACTCATACGTCATACAAAAAGAAATCCCTCCCCTCTGTAGGCGGGCTGTAGTTTTCCACTCTAAAACTGCTCTACTGACCTTCAGTTCACACACACACACACATATACACACATGCATACACACATACATACACACACACACACACACACACACACACACACACACACATATCCTACTCCCTGCATTACTCAGTTATTGCCGTTCTCACAATATTCTGCACCATGTTTTCATAACAGTTTCTCCCCTCCCTAAATTGGGAGGCCTCTTTATCTTAGTTTCTCAGTTGTCTTTGTTGTCTGGCCTAACTCTTACTCACATTGCTAAATAGTGGCTCAATGCCATAGCCTTTACTGGTCCTACACTCACACATTTCTAACACATTATACACAGTTTCAGGGTGTAATAATTAGTCATTAATAATTAATCTATCACTTCTGAAGGTAATTGGATGCACCAGATCTTATTTAGGGGCTTCATAGCAAAGGGGGTGAATACATATGTCCCCTGTAGCTCAGTTGGTAGAGCATGGCGCTTGCAATGCCAGGGTTGTGGGTTCGTTTCCCACGGGGGGCCAGTATGAAAATGTATGCACTCACTAACTGTAAGTCGCTCTGGATAAGAGCGTATGCTAAATGAATAAAATGTAAAAATATGCACGCACCACTTTTCCGCAATTTATTTTTTAGAATTCTTTGAAAAAAGTTATTTTTTAAATTTCACTTTACCAATTTGGCCTATTTTGTGTAGGTCCGTTACATGAAATCCAAATAAAAATCAATTTAAATTACAGGTTGTAATGCAGCAAAAGAGGAAAAACGCCAAGGGGGATGAATACTTTTGCAAGGCACTGTACACACACACATACACACACAACAGTTGCTCAGCTTATGTGTTTCATGTGTGTTTCTAGGCTCTGGTTGTGTTGGAGTCCATGCCCAGCAGTAAACAGTATGCTGATCTAAAGGACTCTATAGGAAAAGCTGTCCAGTTCATCCACTACCCAGGACACTGTCTTAGAGATGGACCTCGCCTCCTTTCTCTGCTGGCCAACCTCCTCTACCCAGACCACAGATACCTCAACATCATACGATAGCAGTGCCAGTTAGCATCGGCTACTACTGTTACACAGTATGCTAAACAGGAAAAGTTAGAAATAGCAATCTATCCTGTGGTCAAAATTAGGGAACTACATTGGGAATATAGTGTCATTTGAGATGTGCACCGATATGCTAGTAGCCTACTAGCCATTGAATGCTGGAGCTGGACTGATAGCCATAATGGACTAGCTCTGACTGGACTGGACTGGATCTCAACAAAGAACATGATTTGACTGTTAGTGATTGTGGGACAACTATAAGTTTATCAGTTAAAGCTCTAGTTTATTAGTGTGTCATACTTAGGCATAGATTCAGTCAGATCAAGCGTTAACCGGCAATAGCCGACAACCGCATAGCTGATGTTTTGGCAGTGTCTGGAGTGTAACTGCGTTGGAGCTGTCAAATCGGTGAGTAGCTGCTCTTGATCATTGTCACGAAGCCACACCCGTCCCACTCACGTTAGTTCAGAATGAAAAAGTGTAGGCTATATAGAAATAATGAAGCTCAAATTGAAAATCATTCGAGATTACATCTCACATTCCAGTGTTCCAACTTGTAAACAAAAAGGCTGCATGGGATTTCTCTTAATGGCAATGCCAGCTTAGGTATAATGCCAGGAGCCACTTGTGGATTTCACAGCTATAAAGCAGTTCCACCTCAGACACTGTCAAAACAACTATGCGGATGTCGGCTAAATCGGATCTGATTGAATAGAGCCCTTACTCTCTGTGTTTGGCTTCCTATTTCTCTCTCTCTCTCACAAATATGCTTTTTTTAAATGTTTGAAAGGTTGTTTCCTTTTATTTTTAATTACTTCAGCAGTTCCTCCACATTTTGCCTATGGCTGATGTTGCAAGTGTTTGATGACAATTATGAAGCAGAGTTAGTATGAGAAACAAACTCTCATACATTACCATAAACCAGTGCCACTGATTTCACTTATTCTCTGTGATCAACATTTAATGATGGAGATTATAACTCATGTTGTTTAAGTTCATCCCCAGTGGTGCATGTGGAGAAAGTTTTTACATAACAGTATTAATTGCCCATATTGAATGCCAGAGGATCAACCCATCAGCTAGGTGGCCTGCTAAGAGTGAAGGGTGAATGGTTGAATTGGCTAAAAGTGCTTTTATTGTTTGTGCCAAATACACTCAACTTATCAATTAGCCTTTGGAGAAACCAACTTGTCTTGTACGCTTTGGAGAAGTACAGTTATTCAGGTAGCGTTCCAAATGGCACCTTATTCCCTTTATAGTGCAATACTTTTGACCAAGGCCTATAGGACTCTGGTCAAAAGTAGTGCACTATATAGGTAATTGGGTGCAATTTGAGACGCAACCAAATATTCCGAGTACTCTGGTATGACGCAGCAGCAGGAACAACAGCAGTGATATGATTGTACAGTATGTAACCTGCCTTACTGTCAGCCTGTGCTTCACTTTGTGGTGACTGTGTGTTGTTAAGGTCCATAAGCGTTTCTGTATGACTCACTGACTATGGGCTGCCAGGGGCTTGCTCAGGGGGGAGCAATGTTATAGGGCGATCAGATAGGTGTAAAACAGACATGACTCCTTGTTCAGTAGTCTAGAATAGGGTCTTGCCCCCCTGAATGTACCCCTCGCTGGCTGGCTATGTGTATAAGATCAGCCTTGTCTACAGGCATGCCTAGCAGAGGATCATAATATACTGATGGGTTATGCGGGGAGTGGATTTGGAAAATAATCACTAGGGAATTCACTCTGGGAACAGTGTTTACACACATTCTCCCCTAATTCCACCCCTAGTGATATAGTGTCTAGAAGTGAAATAATGCAATTTGGATCTGGAATAAATGCTTTTTCTGAAATGAAACCGTGTTTGAGTCTCGTCAATCATGTGTTAATGTGGCTCGTCTGGCACCTCGTCTGTCTGTGAAAGGAGCATGCTGCACTTCAGATGCCGGCGGTCTCCATGGAAATGGGATTGGATAGAACTTAGAGGAGAAGAGAATGGTGTGTACCGTACTGAGCCCATCAGATGGAGGAGAGAACCTACACACACACACACAGTCTGTCACTCCAGACTCCATTAGGTCTGTATATGAGTGAGTCAGTCAGGTTTACACCTAGACCAAAACAATTATTTAAAGAAAATGTAACCTCTATTTTATCAGGGAGTCATACTGAGGCCACGGTCTCTTTTACAGATGAGCCCTGAATTACATAAATTACACACATCAATATGAATACAAAATGCAAGCAGAAAGAAAAACATGGTCATAAAAAACAAACACATTCATCAGTAATAAGGTACTCAATCAGCTTTCTGAATTGCCCTAGAGGCACCAAAACATCAAATTTAAAGAACATTTTGAAGATCCACAAATAAAGTGCAAGAAAGGTGAATCAGCTTTTAGTTAACTCAGTAGAGACCAAAGGAATTTCCAGTTAACCATCCCTGAGACCGGGTGTGGTAACTCGTATGTCTAAAGTTTCGTAAAGATATTACGTACAGTGGAACTTTAAAAAGGGCTTTATAAATGAAAACATAGCATTGTATCAACCTATGTGACATCAAAGAGGGCCAACCATTTAACTAACTTACAGTGCCCTCCACTATTATTGGCACCCCTGTTTAAGATGTGGTCGAGGACTTCCAAAAATTCTCCTTTTTTTTTAAACAACATAGAACCCAAATGCAAAAAAAGAGAAAAATCCAACCTTTTATTTAAGTACATTACTTTGGTGGTAAAAAAAAAAAATCACACATTTAGAAAAAATAAAACTTGAAATCATGTGTCCCACAATTATTGGCACCCCTGATGTTAATACTTTGTACAACCCCCTTTTGCCAACAAGACAGCACTTAATATCCTCCTATAACATTTCACAAGATTGGAGAACACAGAGAGAGGGATCTTTGACCATTCTTCTTTGCACAATCTTTCTAGATCATCCAGTGTCCTGGGTCCTCTCTTATGCACTCTCCTCTTTAGCTCGCCCCACAGGTTTTCGATTGGGTTGAGGTCTGGGGACTGAGATGGCCATGGGAGGACCTTGAGTTTGTGACTGCTGAACCATTTTTGTGTAGATTTTGCCACATGTTTTGGATCATTATCCTGCTGAAAGACCCAATGACGACCCATCTTCAGCTTTCTGGCAGAGGCCATCAGGTTTTTATTTAAAATGTCCTGGTAGTTCAAAGCGTTCATAATGCCATGCACCCTAACAAGGTTCCCAGGGCCTTTGGAAGAGAAACAGGCCCACAGCATCACAGATCCTCCACCATACTTCACGGTGGGCATGAGGTGCTTTTCAGCATACTCATCTTTTGTTTTACGCCAGACCCACTTAGAGTGTTTGTTGCCAAAAAGCTCAATCTTAGTCTCATCTGACCAAAGCACACAATCCCAGTTGAAGTCCCAGTGCCGCTTAGCAAACTCCAGACGTTTACGTTTGTGAGTGTTAGTGAGAAAAGGCTTTTTCCTTGCATGCCTCCCAAACAGCTTGTTGGCATGTAGAGAGCGTCTGATGGTTGTTTTGGAGACTTTGTGACCCCAAGATGCCACTCTTTGATGCAATTCTGTGACAGTGAGCTTAGGACTTTTTTTTACTTCTCTTACCATCCTCCTCACTGTGCGTTGTGGCAAGATAAACTTGGGACCTCTTCCAGCCTTGTTTGTCACTGTTCCAGTTGTTTTAAACTTCTTAATGATTCCTCTGACTGTAGATACGGGCAAGTTAAAGCGAGTGGCTATTTTCTTGTAGCCATTGCCTGACTTATGAAGGTCGACACAAATCTGCCTTACTTGAATGGTGTGTTCTCTTGTCTTTGCCATGTTGACAAATGGGTAAGATAATTAGGCCTCTGTTTCACGTCATATTTATACCCCAGGGAAACAGGAAGTCATGAATTACTAATTAAAGTTCCTAGATACCCTGACCAACTTTAGCAACTACAGAAAAATATATTTTTTTAAAAATCAATTAAAATTTTCAGCGGAATTGTTAGGGGTGCCAATAATTGTGGGACACATGATTTCAAGTTTTTTTTTTCTCTAAATGTGTGATTTTTTTTTTACCACCAAAGTAATGTACTTAAATAAAAGGTTGGATTTTTCTCTTTTTTTGCATTTGGGTTCTATGTTGTTTAAAAAAAAATGAGAATTTTTGGAAGTCCTCGACCACATCTTAAACAGGGGTGCTAATAATAGTGGAGGGCACTGTATGTTTTCAAATATGAGAACATGGTGACATTGACATCAATACATCTCCAGTCCTTATCCCTCCCACCCACCCACCCCACCTTTTTTTTATATATACTTTATTTATACGTTTTCAAATATGAGAACATGGAGACATTGACATCAATACATCATCCCCAGTCCTTATCCCTCCCACCCATCCACCCACCCCACCCCACCCCACCCCACCACACCACACCACACCACACCACACCATCATACAAAAAAATTAAACAGCACAAGAACAATGACAGAAACAAAAGAATTTAACAAACTAAATACAATATACAGTTGAAGTCGGAAGTTTACATACACCTTAGCCAAATACATTTAAACTCAGTTATTCACAATTCCTGATATTTAATCCTAGTAAAAAATCCCTGTTTTAGGTCAGTTAGGATCACCACTTTATTTTAAGAATGTGAAATGTCAGAATAATAGTAGAGATAATTATTTATTTCAGCTTTATTTCTTTCATCACATTCCCAGTGGGTCAGAAGTTTACATACACTCAATTAGTATTTGGTAGCATTGCCTTTAAATTGTTTAACTTGGGTCAAACGTTTCAGGTAGCCTTCCACAAGCTTCCCACAATAAGTTGGGTGAATTTTGGCCCATTTTCTCCTGACAGAGCTGGTGTAACTGAGTCAGGTTTGTAGGCCTCCTTGCTTGCGCACGCTTTTACAGTTCTGCCCACAAATGTTCTATATGATTGAGGTCAGGGCTTTGTGATGGCCACTCCAATACCTTGACTTTGTTGTCCTTAAGCCA